CCCTCAAATCCGCAAATAAGTTTTAATTTATCTTCACTATAGAATCTGTTTAGTCAAAGGGCAAAACAATTTACCAAAATAAGAATAGTCACCTTTCACAGTGGTACATGATTTATAATAACTTTCTCAAAACTTGAAATCATAACGATTGCTACCTTCGCATCAGATTAACAAATCCAAAAGTTTGATTTAAAAAGTAGATTAGGATCCGTTACCTGCAGCCGTCTTACACATGTAATGCATTCTAGATCACATAATGATAGAGAGAGGAAGAAATAATAAAGTGAAAGCCCGTTTTCTGATAATCGACAGAAAAAAGGCAATTGCACCAAGCTATACAAATATCGAGGTTGATCTTGTAGTCTAGCTCTGACGAATGACGTTTGAGGTCAATGAACTGTCTTACGTGATAAAATCAGCTTAATCCATTGATATCTTAGTTACATTGTATACTAATATACAATTATTCATGGCTATTTGGGGAACAGTAAACACTATTATCCCGAGGTAGGGGGGAGCCCTTGGGAACTATGTGACCGAGCTCGAGGCCGCTAGGCCGAGGGCAAACAGTTCCACAGGGCTACCGAGGGATGAAAGTTTTAACCAAATACATAGTATAAAATACATATTATAAAAGGAAAATGTGTAATTATAATGTTTATAGACTATTGGGTGATAAATAACTTTCACATAGTTCCCAAGGGCTTCCCCTACCTCGGGATGATAGTTTTTACTGTTCACCAAGTAGCCACGAAACAATTGTATACTATTGACAAGCAGGATATAAAATACAAGGTATGAGACAGTGAAAACACCGGCTTTACTACTTTTCAAAGCGTCTACATCACACTGATCCATTGAAGCTTATATCTAAGATGCATTGTATGTTGGGTGTGAAAAAGCGAAAACACCGATTTGATGATTTGTGAAAGCGTCTTCATGACACTTATCTATCGTACACTATATCTAAGATTCTTTGTATAATCGAGGTATCTAAAGACGAGCAGGCCATAAAAAGTAGGGTGTGAAACAGTGTAAACACCGGGTTTACGAGTTTTGGAAGCGTCTACCTGACACTGATCTAGCAGGACCGCTACGGACTGTTTACGATGTTTCGTCTAAAGCTGTGAATCGACCTTGCCGATACTTTTAACACTTCCTATTTAATATCACCCTACAAAATATCTTTAACGTTAACTTCACTATCAATGATATACGGTTGACTTAAGATAATCGTGGTAAAAATGTAGAGTTATTACATTTGTACCACAAACATACAGATAGTTGTACATCAAAGATAACGCATTATTTCGCTTATCAACATCTTCTTTAAGACATCTTCAGGTCGGGCTTCCTAGAAAAGGTTGTAACCGATTTACTTTCATACCGGCATGACTTTATCAAAATCCGTTCAATCCCTATTTTGTTGTTTTTATTAAACCGGCATCACCCGTTGATAAGCCCATGCTAATGGCCGACTTGTCATTGACTCCATTGTAATACGATTTGTTTGTTTGTTTTGATTTGTTTTTTCACGACGGTATCAATATAAACCGTCACTATAAATGCTCACATTTCTAACATGTAGCAACATATGGACACGGTAGTATGACGTCACGGCCTTGTCAATGAACTCTGACATGGAAATAAACATCATCATTATATTATTTTTAGTGTCACACATCACAGTTCACAAGGTAAACCATCCTCAAAACCACACTTTACATGTATCTCCCCAATAAAATATCGAATAGGACTTCAATAAGTTGGCAAAACCTGTATCCAATTCGTTTGCAACATCTGTTATTTGCAATAAAATATGTTTAAATCAAATCAAGTAGTTCATATTATATATATATAAAGTGATATCCAGCTGATGATATCGGCCTATGACACACTATAGACTGAAAAACAGACATACACAGACAGACACAGCAAAAACATCCCTAAAACAGTCGCCCCTTACGATCACGCAGTGGGATTTCTCAGGCAAGTCATATTTCCCTCGAGAATTTATAACAAGATTTTATTTTTGTATTTTTGTACCGATCTCTTTCCTTTATATTTGATTTGATTTTTGTTGATTTGTATTGATTTTCATTTTCAATTTCAAACTATTTCATTGTTAATATAAAAGAATTACAGATACTTCAGAGATAAGAAAACAATACATTTATTACATGCTAGGCTGATAACAATATTTCATTCCAGTCTAAATATATGCCATAATCCAAGAATGCTTCTTCACTGAATCTAATCTGTATGCCTATATGTAATAGTTAAAAAGCTGATGTAAGGTGGGGGGGGGGCATGTCTCCTCCTTTTAAAAAATGACGCAACTTATCCCTCTTATCAGAAAACAAAAAGGAAAGAAAAGAAACCAAGGGCGCTATGGGGTCAGTTATTGGAATTTACCAATTTACAAGAGAAATAAGTGGCGATTGGTGCCAAAATCGTAATTTAATTTCCATCAAATTACTCTTTCACTTAAAATAGGGTTTGAGCTACATAGGAATGGCCTGGTTTGGTGAATACAAGCCTCGGATTTTCAAAATCTATCACCCCGGTAGTTTATGTAACCAGTTACTGTATAGTCGTTCAATTTCGCGGGAATAAAATAACGCGATTTTGTGTCCGGAACTTATTCACGGGGTCTAATTTCGCGGATCACAATTACTTTATTGGTGTCCCCCACACCTGTCACCCAGTAATGAAAGGTACTTGCTTCACAGGATCTTCTCGCGCCTCCCAATTTGGACACCCCCACTCCCGTCCCCCTGGTACTTCAGAGACCCATGCACTTTCGCTAAGCGTACTGTCGTGGTAGCAATTGTACCACTAGGTACGTACATGTAGTAGTTAGTGGGACACCGTCCCTGCTGCCCCCTCGGTGCTACGGAGACTCCCCCACATCTCTCATTTCGCTAAGCGTACTGTCGTGGTAGCATTTACACCACTAGATATACGAGGCAGTTGCTGGGACACCTCCATTTCCCGTCCCCTTGGTACTTGGGAGAGCCCCTGCACGCACATCTCATTTTACTAAGCGTACGTACGTGGCAGTAAGTGGGACACTACCCACTAACGTCATCCTAGTACTTAAGAGACTTCCTCCCACCTCTAGTTTCCATAAGAGGACAGTGAAACTGTTTAAAGGACGTGTTCCACGCTCCCGTATACGTGCTGTATGTAACTGTGACAGCCTATCCGCATCTAAGGAGCTGACCGACCTTAGGGCGTGATCTGGAATGGGCTAGGTCATTTTGAATCACCGAGGGCCCGGTAAGCTGGAGACTTACCCCCTCAAGACGCCAGAACACGGGCTCCGCCCGTGAAAACGAGTCTATAAACCCATCAACCAACCAACCACCCAACCTCTAGTTTCGCAAAGAGTACTGTCGTGGTGTGATTTGTACCATTATGTTCGTGGCAGTAAGTGGGACCCTACCCACGCTCGTCACCCTCGTTAGTCTAGGTAACGCATGGTATTGGTACCGCGCGCTCTCACGCCTCTTCTATAACTTAAGTACGATCGCCGTAGCATTGGAATCGCCATGCTTTAGTACTGCTGCTGCTGCTGCTGCTGTTGCTGGGCACGCTATACGTGATGTACTTGATAACATTACACAGTCTGCCAGTGCCCGGGTTATACCTACCACTATGTGTTGGTACAGAGCACAGGTGTACTGTTTTGAGAACTTGTCCGATTACCTATATTTGGGGTAAACGGGAACTTACTTTTCGATTGGATTGTATTATCTACCAGTGTTTTGGTTAAAATAGATATACATATATATACCTGTATTTAAGATAGTACGGACAAATCTGTGTTTTAAAACTTAATCGGAACTCAAGTTAATGACACTTGATATAGGAATAGCAGCGACCTTTAATTTAGAACGTGAAGCTGCAGGTAATCAGTTTAACAAATCGTACTATGCTATTGAATGGATGTTAATCGTGAAATTGGTGATTTAGAAGTTACTCCACTTCACAGACGGTAATTTATGCGAATATACAGGTGTGTTTCTATTTTCCTTTTTTGCAATTTCAGAACGTTTTTTTTTTTTCTTTCTACAATTCATTTTTTGCAAATATAGCGGAGTATAAAAGTGGATTCAAAACTTTGGCTCCGCGTAATGGGTCTGGAAACATAGGATCGGAAGGCGATTGTAATTGGAGCGACCAGACCAGACCAGCCCAGCCATTGTATCGCGGCTCGGAAGCATGTGTAAAATGTCTGGCAGCAGTAAATATATTTTTTCTTTAAATGGAGGAATATTTCCATATCACCATACATTTAATTACTGTATAGACGTGCTGCAAAATGGTAAAACAATAGAATTCAAGCATCATTGTCTGAAATTTGAAAGTCTACATGAAACCATGGAAACGATTAAAGTATGTTCGCGAAAAAACATGATGAATAATTCTAGATTATATAAAGGCACCAATAATCTCTCGGCATAATTACGTTCGACCCAGAAATGGCAAGTCAACATTCCGACGAATTATTCGGGTAAAGACGGAGACAAACTTTTACTCGGTATACAGATAGTGATGTGTCGGTATCGTATCTATTACACGAATATCCCAATAAAATTTGGAATTAAACCCCGCGAACAAAACCTGATCCAAGCCACCTGGAGTTGCGGTATTATAGAGACGCGTATACTCCTACTGGTGTTACACTTCTGACAAGTATCACCGTTTAGATTGATCTATAGACGATCTTGTTGTTGTATTTTTCAGACTGCTGAAATGATCAGAAGTAGGATTACGGGCTGCAGACGGCGGAACCAAACGCTAGGTACCACCGGAAGTCAGCATAACTATGGGCGCAATGAGCTTGTGCTTCATTAATGGAGAAAATTTTCAGTGAAACGAAAGCTATTACAAGTTGTGCGTGCTATTTCGTTTGTGATCAATGGAAATATATATAACAGTTTATGGAAATAGATATTTAGAATAAGGACTGGAAGTTAAGGTAGGATATCACACGGGCAGGATTAGGTAAGTAATGGAATTCTGGCTACATTGAACGTATCTCGTTAACCATAGTTCCAAACGATTATTCTGGCCATTTGAGTTTTATTCTAACGCTTGTATACCACGATTAATGGACGATTTATATAAAACAAGAATGTTTTACAATCAGCTAGGGAATTTGCCGTGGAAATGTGGGACCAGATCGAAAACTTGGCTTTACTTTGCATTTATTCTTTTCAAATGTCAATGACACAAGATGGATAGACCAGAAACGGCATCGGCGTGGGATGTGTTATGGGTGCTGCCCTAGTCATCAATGTCATTTCCTAATTTATTTAAAAATTTGGCACAAAAATTTTGTTTAATTCACGGTTATTATCCAACGGCAATAAGAATTCCAATCAATATCAATTCTACAAAATGTCATATTGTTAAAACCAATGGAAGTTGGAGTTGAAAGAAAATTCCGTTTACCTGACGTGACAAATTTGCAACGCGTATTGTGCATAGATTAGAGTGGATTAATGGATGAAATCTTTGTCCATAACAGTGGTCTGTTGGCGAGTTTGTACAGTCATTAAACGATGAACAACAGTGTTGGCAATGGAACAGATTATGATCATGTGTCTTCGCCTCCTATATCTGATTATCTACAGACCTTCTTCATTCTGCTTTACGGCATTATTGTGATAATCGCTATTGGCGGGAACACGATCGTGTGCTACCTAATTTACGCATACAAACGAATGCATACGATTCCGAATTATTTCATTGTCAATTTAGCCATAAGTGACATTATAATGGCGATCTTTTGCATTCCTTTCACATTTGTGGCCAATCTGATGTTAAACTACTGGCCGTTTGGTGAAGTCATGTGTCCGATAGTGACCTACCTACAGGTAGTGGCCGTATTTCTAAGTGCCTTCACGTTAGTAGCGATGAGTCTTGACCGTTATATTGTTATTGTGCATCCATTTAAAAAACGGATTACGGCACGAAAGACCGGTTTTGTGTTACTTGGGATATGGACGTTGTCACTAACGATACCCCTCCCAACACTCCTCCAGTCAAAACTTGTGTACTATTCCAACACCAGCGGCGTGTGTCTCGAACCCTGGGAGGACTTTACGGCCAAATACGCTTACAGCCTCATCATCATGATTCTGCATTACTTTGGACCCTTGGTGGTCCTTGTGTTCTGTTATAGTAAGATTGGATATAATATATGGATGAAAAACATCCAAGGAGATGAAAGGAATAAACGAAGACTACAGTTAGCATCGGCGAAACAAAGGGTGAGTACCATTCAAACATGACCTCGCAAAAGATATATCCCAATGAAAAAAATGTAATATATGCTATGGTTTAGTTAATTGATACTCGAAATGGTTACGTTCTCTGCAACCCTGTAGTACTATGTGTGTCATGGCAAAATCGGAGGCACGAGGTTAGTGATTTGATTGGTTTCAGGTCAAAGAAGTGACCAATTGCTTGGCTTATACGTGTCATTTGTGGACAGCAGAGGAGCGACACATGATTTCCAAAGCCGATCAATTGTACCGTTACGCTTCCGCATGATTCTTTTGATTTTCATCAACGATCAAACTAGTCTAACTATTTCATCCACAAGGTGGCGCGCACAGAGCTTTTGATTTCGTCACGACATATTCCAGGGGTGTAGAGAACGCAAATGAGCGTTACCCTTAGACTTCATAATAAAATGGACCTAACCTGAAAGGGTTTTTTTTGTTTTTGTTTTTTTTAAATATTTTTAATATAATATATTGGACATTTCCAGGTATAAACCCGGTCATCATTATTACATATTACTTTTAACTACGTCAATTTGTCTACTTTTACCAATTTATGACTTCAACTGGTTGAAGATTATGTCATGTGTGTTGTGGCATATAATACAAGGGAACAAAGTGAATATTGAAAAAGAGTTAGCAGATTTGAATGTTGATATAGTTTCTGGGAGTAGTATATTCCAATCATTGATTGTCCAGGGTAGGGGGTTGGAGACATATTCTTTCCTAAAAGACGTTCTACAGGAGGTAGTGTGGAAAGAATTTTGATGAGACGGTGCCTTGATTTTCTAGTGGTGAGGACCAAATGTGTGGAATTTATGTCAAGTTTGCTATATGGTATATTTTATAGAGCATGTTCAGTCTCGCATCCTTTCCACGATCTGCAAAACTGTGTCATTTAAGATGCTCAAACATGTTACCAACGCTTCAGGTGTAACGATGTCTGTTCAAAAACAAACCTGACAGACCTCTCTGTCCTATCTTTGTCAGATGTGTGTGTCCCCAACTAAACTTGCTTATTCTAGTTGACAGCAAACTGAAGGGACTTGTATGCCTTTTTCTTTGATGTGAGAAGATGTTACTTTTAGATTGTATCTAAGAAAGCCCAATGTCGTGTTAACTTTCCTTGCAAGTCTAGCAAGGTATAAACCGATGACACGATTTGATTACAAAAAAATAATGAATTGCAATTCACCACCGTACAGTTATGTATGAGGAATAATAAGTGCATACGGCTGTTAAAGGTCATTGAAGTGAAGTAGCAATTCCAAATAAGCATCGAATTTCCAACCCTCTGTCATCTCTTGAAATGTTATACATTGTGTTAGACTCAAACAATTAAGTAAATACCGACCTCCTTTACCACTTTCTTAACACAACTTAAGGATCCCTGTCCCACAGCACTGTGGATTTTGGTAAATACAGTGACCTCCCCTTAATTTCGTTTTGAATTTAACAGCGGCACAGTTTGGCAAGGACACTTCCGTTAATTCGATCGCTCAGTCCGTTAGAGTGACAATAGAGCTATCGGAAATGACCATCTTGGTCTAGCCCCCCGCTCAATTAATCTCAGAACGCTTTTTAACGGTTCAACCGTTTATTTACAGTTTCTGGCAGTGGTACGGGGTTCCTTAAAATGTATTTTACCTACCCTACTACTTCGAGTAATTTTCCTATACTTAACCCATCATCCATTCATTGCATCTAACGCTATGCTACATGGATAATTACATGGTATATTGATTCAGAAAAGCAAATGGTTGCAGAGCTCGTTAACCTGGAAACAAATAATTCATTAGACTGACTACAAATAAATAAATATCTGATGCAATAAAATACCCATTTAAATCAATCAAGCTCACCGAGAATGGCGCCAACTAGTCCCTGGGGAGTAAACAGCTATGACCTTGATGACGATAGGATTTATATGGTGATGGGAATGCGGTATAATTATATCTTAGGCATGTTGAGTTATTAATCCGAGTCGTTGTAAATGGCTAACAAGGTTCTGCTACAAAAAATAAATCTGCCATCACAGGTAACAATGATGGGAGTTTTCTGCTGTTTTGGAATAAAAAAAATACCTGCGGTGTCAGATTGCATGGCTACAGTATATGAAGATGCGACTAACGTGGGACCATATAGTGTACCTTAATTTCAGTGCGTCTATTAGAACCTAACATTTCCTCTGTGATTAATGGTACCTAAAATCCAGTGCGTCAATTGGCACCTTACATTTCCGCTGTGATTAATGGTACCTTAAATTCAGTGCGCCTTTTGGCACCTAAAAATTCCGCTGTGATTAATGGTACCTTAAATTCAGTGCGCCTATATTGGCACCTAACATTTCCGCTGTGGTTAATGGTACCTTAAACTCGGTGGGCCTATTGGCATCTAACATTTCCTCTGTGACTGTTTGTACCGTACCCTTCGGAGCGTCTATTGGCACCTGAGATATCCGGTGTTACTTTTGGTACCTTACATCCTCGGTTTCTCTGATGACGTTTCTTACTTCCAACGTCGCAGTTGATATCTACTGTTACCGGTGTCTGTGAGCTGTTAACACTTTCGGGTCTCTTCCTATCTGGTACCCGATCGCTATCGTTTGACCCAGTAGGACCTTATAACGTTGGTGTTATTACTCCATCGAATGACAAAAACCCTTTAGGATCAGGGTAAAATGTTAATCCGTATCTCTTTGATCGGTAGTAAACTATCAGGCTGTTCTCTAAGGAACACGGTCAATTGTATGTAGTAAACTATCAGGCCGTTCACTTAGGAACATGGTAAATTGTCTGTAGTAAACTATCAGGCTGTACTCTAAGGAACATGGTCAATTGTCTGTAGAAATATATCAGGCCGTTCTGTTAGGAACATGGTAAATTATCTGTAGTGAACTTTCAGGGCGTTCTCTTAGGTACATGGTAAATTGTCTTAGTAAATTATCAGACTGTTCTGTCTTTGGAACATGTTACATTATCTGTAGTAAAATATCAGGATGTTCACTTATGAACATGGTAAATTGTCTGTAGTAAACTATCAGGCCGTTCTCCTAGGAACATGGTAAATTATCTGTAGTAAACTATCAGGCCGTTTTATAAGGAACATTGTTAATTGTTTGAAGTGAACTACCAGGCCGTTCTCTTAGGAGCATGATAAATTGTCTGTAAATTATCATGCCGTGTTATTAGGAACATGGTATATCGTCTGTAGTAAACTATCATGCCGTTCACTTAGGAACATGGTAAATTGTCTGTAGTGTCACATCGCATGACAGCAGTATATGGAAAACCAGGCAATTCTCTTCGGAATATGGTATGAAAATACTCTGTAGACTATCATGTCGTTCTCTTAGGAACATGGTAAATTGTCTGTAGTATACTATCAGTCTGTTTTCTTAGGAAGATGGTAAATTGTCTGTAGTAAACCATCAGGCATTTCTCTTAGGAAGATGGTAAATTGTCTGGAGTGAACTATCAGGCTGTTATCTTAGGAACATAGTAAATTGTCTGTAGTAAACTATTAGGCCAATCACTTTGAAACACGGCCGTTCTCTTAGGATCATGGTAAATTACGAATACGTTTTTCTTTTGGTCATCCAATGTTGGTGGTCCTAGCTATTTCAGCGATCACGGGAAAGTATGAAAAAGTATCCGTTGGCATCTTGGTAAAGTATGTTTATGTTAGTTTTAGGATGATGCAAAGTGTTCTGACTTGGTCCTTCTTTGATGGTTGTGAGGTTTGCGTGTTTTTATTTTGTTTGTGTGTTCCTCTTGGGAACAAGGTAAATTATGAATAGTATTTCTTGCGATCAGGGTAAAGTATGAATAGGTTTTATGTTTCCCTTTTGATCTTGGCAAATTATGCAGGTTTTTTTACCATGACAAAGGATTATTTGATATTTTTTTGGATCAAAGCAAAATGTAATAAATATATATTTCTAGTTCGTGTATTTGTTTGACTGCTTTCGATAAAATATAAATGTTGACGTCGGAACAATTAGCCGAATACAGGGAATGATTTAAAGGCGGTACTCATGTAGTAGTTTTTTTCTTTATTCACGTGTGTACGTCAGATAAAAAAAAAATTAGCTCACGTTACTTCAAACATAAAACGACAATTTAACAATAATAGAGACAAGGTAGTTAATAAGAAAATGATTGGAACAGCGAGGAGGAAGTACACATTTTGATAACGGTAAGTTTATTATATAATGGAGGTATCTTACGAGAGTAAATGTTATCGACTGCGTAGAGATGTTATGGATGTAATAACGCGATAATGAAGGCGGACAAAATTCAATATCTGCGCTAGCTAATGCCAATTCTTAAATGAAACAATAATGATTAAAAAGGGACCACCACTGCAGCATTAATGCCAGTATAAATCAATATCGCAAGTTAGTTGGAACTAGTTGCACAGACGCAAGAGTTGTGACTTTATGGCAAGTCATCTATTATTAAACACCCAGGGAAAAGTTCCGTATAGCTAATTCAAAACAAATACTCATCATCACCTGCAAATATACCTTTCCTATATTTCCTATAAACGGATCTTTTTAAGTATAAGTATATTATTTCGCGTAGGTGAGGATTAACGTTCTGTCGGCAACACCCTGTATTTTTGCACTGCATATTATTTTCCTTTGTGTTATAATTCGCATCCATCTGTTTTTAAATGTAACAAAACAAAAGATCGCTGAGATAGATAAAAATGGAAACACGATGCCAGTATAAAGTACATGAATATATATGTGATTTTCACGTGTTGCTGTCGTAAGATATATTTATGCCATCAGCCAATCTGATTTGTAAAATCGACCACACTTGCCAGAAAGATAATTTCATCAGAACTGTTGAATCGCTCCGATATGATATCTTGTGGTGAAGAAAAAACGTGAAAGTATTTCCCCTACTCCGTGAACTAAATCTGCTGTGTTTATCTTGAGAAATAAATATCATTTCTTGCTATATATAAAAACTACA